CCCTTCAGGGTGGGGGTCCCCACTGGGGTGCCTGGCCAGTCTGGGTGAGGGGCTGAGGGCCGTTTTCAGGCTGGCGGGTGACTGAAGCTCCCAACCTCTCCTTTTTTTCTTTTTTTCTTTTTTTATTCTGGGATTTATTTACCTTCTATGGCTGTCACTGGAGCTGAGAGCCAGCTCCAGCTCTGAGGCCCAGCTCCAGCTCTGAGGCTGCAGCTGGCTGAAAGCAGGTATCTGGGTTTGTTTAGCTTCTATAATTGAAACATTGTTGCCATCACTGCCGCTCTAAGCTCTGAGGCCGAAGCTGGTTGAAGCAGGTTTGTTTAGCTTCTATAATTGCAACATAGTTGCTTAGAGTGCAGCTCAGAGCTGGGTGGCGGCAGGCAGGGAACGTTGGCTTCCTCCATCACTGGAGCAAGCAAACCTCCTGTTCCCTTAAGCTGCCTGGCTGCCGGCTGCCATCTTGGTTGGCAGTTAATTTGCATATCGCCGATTAGCCAATGGGAAGGGTAGCGAAGTTATGGTTAATTACCATGTTTGTCTATTATTAGATAGGATATCCAAGATATGGAAGCAATCTAACTGTCCATTGATAGATGAATGAATAAAAAAGATGTGGTATAAATATACAATGGAATATTAGCCAGTCCTAAAAATAATAAAATCTGCATTTGCAACAACATGAATGGACCTAGAGAGTATTATGCTAAGTGAAATAAGTCAAATAGAGAAAGACAAATACCATATGATTGCATTTATATGTGGAATCTAAAAAACAAAACAAACTAACAAAACAGAAACAAACTCATAGCTACAAAGAACAAATTGATGGTTGCCAGATGGAAGGAGGTTAGGATGATGGTTGAAAAAGGTGAAGAAATGAAGAAGTAAAAGTTTCCAGTCATAAAATTAATCATGGTGATGTACATTAGAGCTAAGGGAATATAGTCAATATTGCAATAAATATCTATGGTGTCAGGTGGGTGCTGTCAAAGCAAAAATGACAGTGGACAGAATTAGGAAAGTTTTCTTCAATGAAAGAAAATCCAGAATTCAGTCTGAACTCAACTCTACTGACATAAATGAAGGAAAAGATTTCAAGACCTGAGGTGGGGAATGGAGGGTAGGGATTCTGAGTTAGAGTAGAGGAATCCTAGTCATCTGTATTTGCAAATTGGCCTTACCCAAAGGAAAAATAAACGTTCTCTTATCCTCATGACAGGAGGGAGCATTACAACTTGGGGCAAGGCCCCAACCCAAGTTAGAAACCCTCCATGGAGACTGGGCATAGGGGCCTATTTTCTTGATGATTATATTCAAAAGCTCTGGCTCTCCCATATCCCTGAGAAATCCAGCCCTGGGGTGTAAAACTGGCAAGTGTCTTTTTAAAAGTTTACATCTTAAAAGAGAAAGAATTTACAATTCTAAGGTTTCCAAAGGAAATGCTCTAAGAAAAGGGAGGTTAGAGCCTCTGTTGTTAGGGCTCTGGATTCTGCAAGGACAAAGGTGAGGGGGAGAGCAGGGGCCGACAGGCAGAAAGAGGCCTAGAGTTGTGCCCAGCTGAGGGAAATGTTAAGGCCATTTTGGTTCATATTTAACACTAAAAGAAACATTTTAAAAATAAAAATATCAATATCAAATCAAATGTATAACCACAAGTAGAGATAACCTACCACATTGTGTTATCATCCAAGTGCAACGGTCAATTTATCACACAAAAACCAGGCATTCTTTTTCCTCCTGCCTGTCTGCCTTGCTTTCCCTCTTTAGAACAGCAGTTGGCAATCGAGTGCCCACAGCCAAACACAGTCCATAGTTTTTGTTTTTAAAATAAAGTTTTATCAGGATACAGCCATACCCATTTGTTTACTTAATGTCTTTGGCTGTTTTTGCACTAGGAGTGCTGAGTTGAGCAGTTATGACAAAGGTTTTAGGACTCACATAGCAGAAAATATTTATTATCTGGCCGTATATAGAAAAAAAATTTGCCGACTCCTGCTTTAGACTAGTTCCTAGAGTGACAGGAGCTTTGTCAAAACTGAGTTCTCAGATATATTATAGGACCCTAGTCACCTGCAGGTCACTTGATATCAATAAGTATCTAGAAATATCATCTGTTGTTGTTTACATATGTTAAAGGGTCAGAAAAATACAAGTGATAAAAACAAAGGAGGGGTGATTCTCCTCTTTTAAACTATCATACATTTACCATGTTTTTCTGTATTAACATGATTGTGCTTCTCAGAATACAAGAAATATAGAACTACAGAAATCTGAATCAACACACAGAGATATTTTATAATAAATATCTTTCTTTTACTGGGATTATTTCCGGGTGTTTTTTAAAATTTATTTTTAATTTTATTTTAAGCATAGCTCTCTTTTGGCAGAACACTTCACTTACTTTAGAGTGTATTTTAATTGCACTCAAATTTTATAGAAGGTGTCCTGATGAATTATTACTGCCATTGACCTGGGACAGAGCAGATGGCAAATCACAGACTCCATTATGGCTACTCACTTACAAATAGGTTGCATCTAAAGGAGCAAGAGCCCTGCCAGTGGATGTGAGCAAGCACAGGGATAATGACTACCAGTCAAGGATGCAGTAATACAGTAATAGGGATTTTGAGGGAGGTTCACCTGGGTAAATTCTAAGTTCTTTTTCATGTTGCGTCTAAGAATCTGTAAGTCTTTATTATTTAACACTACAGGCCTGGTGCATGAAATTTGTGCATTCGGGGGGGGGGTTCCCTCAGCCCGGCCTGCACCCTCTCCAATTCAGGACCCCTCAGGGGATGTCCAACTGGTCAGACATCCCTCTCACAATCTGGGACCAATGGCTCCTAATGGCTCACCTGCCTGCTTGCCTGCCTGATCGCCCCTAACGGCCTCCTCTGCCTGCCTGCCTGATCGCCCTTAACCCCTCTGCCTACCAGCCTGATCACCCCTAACTGCCCTCCCGTGCCGACCTGATCACTCCCCTGATCGCCCCTAACTGCCCTCCCGTGCCGGCCTGATCACTCCCAACTGCCTCTGCCTTGGCCCCTGCCACTGTGGCTTTGTCCGGAAGGAGGACTGGACAACTGGAAGATGTCTGGTTGACTCGGACTAATTAGCATATTACTCTTTTATTAGTATAGATTAGGACATTCTGTAAACTGAAAAAGCACACATTTTATCAGAAATTTTAAAGAAATTTACATATGCTATTCTAGAATTAGGACTGGTGTTTAAATGCTATGAATAGTAAACTTTGATGAAGAACACTGATTTTGGTTCAGTACACATCCATCAATAAGGTATTTGAAAATGACTGATTATCTGGGCCACCATCTACACAGCTCATGTGAAAATATAATCAGATCATTAATATAAAAGAACAGCCCTCTACTATTCGTACATAAATAGTTTACATATTATATACAGTATATATCTGAACAAAATGCAGTTACAAACTTAGACCAGGTTTCAAAAGGTAAAGGATAGGCAAGTATTAACCCAATTCTAAATCCTTACTGAAAGGTTATATATCTGTATGGCTCATTTCTGTAGTGCCATATTTACTGTGGTGTTTGGGTTCTATGGGTGCTCAATAAATCTTGGTTTTACTGAATTAGCATCAATGATATCAATGTAGGCAGGAATGATATAGTCTAATGTTAGGGTTAAGGCATTATAAAGGCTCTAGATCAGTGGTTCTCAACCTTGGCTGCACATTAGAATCACCTGGGAATCTTTTTAAGATCCTGATTTCTGGGCCTCATCCTCCGGAAATTCTGTTTCTTTGTTACTAATGTTGTGGCCCCACCCCATAACAAAGAAACAGAATTTCCGGAGGATGAGGCCCAGAAATCAGGATTTTAAAAAGATTCCCAGGTGATTCTAATGTGCAGCCAAGGTGGAGAACCACTGCTCTAGATGTATCCTGGACATTAATAAGCTTTATAACCTTGGATCATGCACTTCAATCATCAGGCTTTAACTTTCTCAGATATCAAACAAGGCCCCGGTTCTCAAACTTCAGAGTGTATGAGAATTACTTGTAGGGTTTGTTAAAGCAAAGATCATTGGGCCCCACCCTCAGGTTTCTGATTCATTAGGTCTGGGGTAGGGTGGTAAATTTGCATTTCTAAGTTCTGAGGTGCTGTGAATGCTGGTAGTGCAGGGGCCACGCTTTGAGAACAAAATAAAAGCCTGAGAAGATAGTGGTAGTGAATTACCACATCATTAATATTTTATAGCTGTAAAAGAGAGGGTACACTAAAATGGCCCATGAAAATGTAATTGTCTTTTACATCAAAATTTCAATTAAATTAGAAGAAGAGCTATGAATGTGTGTGTTTTTAAGATCTCAACAGAGATTTTTGAGCACATAAATGTTCTATGATACTTACGTCATAGCTTGATAAATGGATTCAATCCCATAGCGCATGGCAAACTCATCGACTATTTCTTGGGAAGCATCATCAAAGAAAACCTTCCAGGCTTCATCCCCTTTGACCTCTGGGATTTTCACTGCACCATTAGATTTCACTTCAGTCAAGTAATGGAACAGATTCTAAAAGTAAGTGGTTTTCAATTGTTCAGTAATTCATTAGAGTAGGCCAAAAGTATTTAACTGTAACTTTCAGTAAATTATACTTGCATTGTGATTGCCTCTAATGTTTCATCAGTATCTGTACGCAATAGGAATAGCTTGGATCTTAATTCTAACATCAAATTTATGCAAATTCTGATTATATTTCTCCCTGGGTCTATACAGGATCAATAATTAAAATGTTTCATATGTACCCAATTGTTTTAGAAGAAAGTAAAAGGTTTTACATGCAAACATTTCTAAATGCTAGAACATATTTTGCACTCATGAGCTCTGAGTAAATTTTAGAGCACTGGTTGAATAATCTGATTTTGGCTGTGTTAATACAGAATCTAGGTATGTAAATGATACTAAAGGTCTTTTGCTGCAAAATGTTACAGAATCAGGGCAATGAACTGAGGTTGAAATGCATGTTTGAGAATTCTATCATCGGAAATCTCACTACATAGAATTCCTTCTGTTTCTAACAAGTTTAGAAACTGCTGCATGGATGTAGCCTGAAGGAGCCTTTCTTGGATTTTAGGGTTTTTTTTGTTTTGTTTTGTTTTTTTGTTATTGTTCTTTTACCAGCAGGTAAGTCTCCAAAGAGCAAAGCATAATGCTGTCCCCCTGATCCAAATCTTCTCTGCCCACTTCTTAAGGCTCCCATCTTGCCAGTTCCAGGATTTTTTTTTTATTGGTCTGAAAACTTAACCACCTTTCTTGAAGGAATGATAACACTGGATGGATAGTAGTCAGGAAATTAGGCCTATGTCCTATATCTAATTACTGTTTAATAAATAAAAGATTTAATACTGTTCCTCATTACTTCTTTAGTAAATGGAGGTGCAAATAATTGCACATAAATATTTATAGATATTTAGAAAAAATAATATGTGAAGATTCTCTCAGCTTGTTTTTCATCTTAGGGTACTTTCTCTTTACCTCTTTGGATATAGGGAAAGGTACATTCCTCAATTTCTCCTGGTATTTTTTTTATACACGGAACAAGTGTCATTTGTATCAGAGAATGGTTTTGTAACACCTCTAACTAAGCTCTCTGATGCAAAGCATCCAATAGAAGCCCAAGATGATTTGTATATCTACAAAAGACACAAAAAGGAACTGGTGAGTCTTCCTGTTAGAATCACATAGGGTGGTCTTTACTTCTCTTTAACCCAGCCAGGCCCTACCTTTTGGGTGGGTATGTTGTCTACTACTACGAGTGGGTAACTACATTCTGACACTCTCATGCCCAGATATGTTTGTGGAAAGGGTAGATAAAATGCAGAGGGTTCAATATGTATGAAGCCCTTTGTTGTACTCAGAAAAAGGAAGAAAAAATTATTGCTTATTACACTGGCTCCCAAATCCTTTGGTACAACATCAGCATTTTATATTTCTATTTGTAAACAGTATTATTAATCAAACCTTCAATAAAACCTAAACACTAACTCAGAGTTCTCAAAAAACATTCATGAATTAGATCCTCTCTTCATTACTAGAGTACTACTATATCTTTTATGCTCCCAAAATATTCACCATGACTTATTTATGCAATAAGTGCTTTTTAACATTCTTTGTTCTTCTTGCAAGAATGGTAATTTCATTTGGTCTATTAGTTCATTATCTCATAGACTTGTTTATTCATACCCATCACATGTGCTTGTTCTAAACTCCCATTAGAGGACACCCACCTGCATCCTTACTGCTAGAGTATAGAGCAGTGGTTCTCAACCTGTGGGTCGCAACCATCGGAAAACACATATAGCATACCAGATATTTACATTACGATTCATAACAGTAGCAAAATTACAGTTATGAAGTAGCAACGAAAATAATTTTATGGTTGGGGGTCACCACAACATGAGGAACTGTATTAAAGGGTCGCAGCATTAGGAAGGTTGAGAACCACTGGATGGACTAAGAACTCCAGAAACAACTCCACAAAGCTAACTCAATTATATATTTTAAACCAACATTTTTATTGTATGATTCACAATTCATACCAATTTCTTTTCTAGGATTTTTAGTAATACAATTCCAGTTTCTTACCTCATGTAAACATGTATATTGTATATGATATGGAGCAACCTTCTCCTCTCCTTTTATTTCCACATTGATTTTCAATCGAATGGCCCCAGATACAGCTGACTTATCTGTCCGTTTCTCTGACAAAGCAAAAAGGAATTGGCTGGTCACTTGTGATAATCCCATATTTCGCATACAAGTTCTGAGAGGCTTAAAGGGGGCTTACATTGCTAAAAGCCATTCTTCTAGATCAGGCTTGATTATCCCACCATAAAGATTTTGCTGAATACGACTTAAAGTAATGTGCCTATTGTGTCACTGTGATTGTCAAACTACATTATAGATACTTCATATAGAAAAGCTTAATCAGAAGACCTTGCCATTCTGAGATAAATGTCTGGGTACTTGGTTAGAATATCCACTAAAATTAAATTATTTGGCCAATTAAAAGCAATATAACTTAAACATAAAATAAACCAGGAAAGCAATTTATCTAAAAGCTTCTACTCTTTCTTTCTGTGCTTGAAAAGATGAGTCAAAGCTCTGGCTAACAAAAGAAGAATTACTGTTTTCTTTGTTAGTGATTCATCAAGACCTATAGTCTACCGCCTGTGCTTACTCATGAGTTTTGGATTAACTGTTTACTTGAATGGAATCAATATGTAGTTAATTTAGTCAAGTAATGTGTATGTAAACACACACATATGTTCAATACTAATCAGTAGCTTTGAGAGAAAAAAAAAAGCACAGTCACAAATTTCCTAGAGTGTGAATGGAGGTAGGGGACCTACGTTTGTCACCCACTTCACAGATGAAACATAGAGAGGCAAGCTGACCCATTCATTGCACAAATGAAGTGTCAGGAGGGAGAGTGCCACAAAATAGTGGTGATTGGCCCTCTTTCTAAGTATAACTATTTTTAGCCATGAGATAAATTTAAATTATGAAATCTACTTTTTTTTTCTTATGAAATATATGCTGACTTTTTATTGTTAATATTTAATAGTCACTGTGTTGTGAAGATCCTTCCCTCAGGAATGTCAGAATCATGAGTGTTTCTCTTGCTGGATGAGAGATTGTTGATTCTCAACAAATATTAAAATATATATATATATAGTTCTCTGCTGAGGCCAAGAAGTTCTCTGCTGGGGCCAAGAGAAATTCAACTCCCCGGGCTTTTTTTTTGTCACAGAGCTCTTTCCATAGTGCCAGGGAAACACTACTGATCCTATAACTGTCATCATCCCAATGCATTAAAGGGGCACAGGCTCTGTTTTGGCCAAGTTCTCTTCAGCCTGGTGGAATGAATTCTAAGTGATAAGGAAGGAAGAACGCTATACAAAGAATGGAAATATGGTGCTTATGTGGATTGAACCACTGAAGGATTTTACACAAAGCTAAAACTTGTCCTCCACCCTCCTATTTTAAAAATTTATAAACCAGGAAAGAGGGCAAGAAGTACAAACTGAGGATGAGCAGGCAAAGCCTTCCATGCTGTGTAATATCATGTTTTCCTCTCCATAGATGGAAGGGCCTTTTCAGCATGAGAGCTGGGTAGCTGACTTTACTAACAGCACATTCAAATTCCTTGGCAAATAATATATCCATGTATCTTTTGTCAAAAAACAATTTGAAAAATTTCTGTTCTGAATTCTAACTGCCTCAATTCAAAGATATGCTAACTTATTACAGGAAAATGTCCAAGTATAAGCAAACCTCTTTAATTAAAACACAATATGTGAGTATTGCACAAAGTTAATGGCCTGAAGTTTACCCTGGCCTAACCTCTCTATTTTTATTTATAAAGCTAACCTCTTTAATTAAAACACAATATGTGAGTATTGCACAGAGCTAATGGCCTGAATTTACCCTGGCCTCACCTCTCTATTTTTATTTATAAAGAATAAGATGTGGGAAGATGATGATTATAACTGAAGTAAAAATTTTATGCCAGTAATGTGGATGCACCACACCAATTCTCTTTCAGGAAGTCTTCTTTAAAATAGTTTTTTGATAATTAATTCTGAGTGTAGTTTGAATTTTGTGTGCAGATAAGTTATATATTGCTCCTTCTTTAAATTATTATATAATTTAAAGTTTTATTAATTCTATGACCTTATCTCTCTATTTGTCAAATATTATATTACTTGAAGTATGCACATTTTTAAAAACCCAGAAGCACTCTTCAATTTGCTAAAATATATTGATATCCTAAATGGAAACTCTTTGTAATCTTGGAACTGTGTAACCCCTTCTTTGATTCACCACCAGCCCTTAATAATTTAATTAAAACATTTAAGATGACATGATTAAGAAATTTTGGATCATGTCCTTTACAGAAACTGAGGTGATCCATATTTTTTACTACTATTAAGTCAGTACTGAAGATTCTAGACTATTATTCAATTATAGTAAAAGTAAAATTAAAAGTTATCTTTATTTAATTATTAGTTGCATAATAAAATTTCAATTAACAGCCATGCCAATTAAACATATTCTCAATATTGTCATTATTAGAGTAAGCATAAGTTCACAGATGTACTTGGCTTTGTCAGCTAAAGATGACATTTATATCACCATTTGAAAAATATCTAAAATACACATTTCCTTTATCGCCAAAATTCATTAAGGGACCAAAAGGAAATAAATCAAACAGTATCAAGTCATAGGTTGATTATTAGTTTTTATTACATTTGGCAAAGGTTTTTGGAGCTACATTTTTCTGATTTAAAAATTAAGAATGGGCTAATATTTTTCTCCTAAAATACATCTAGTTGATTCGTTGACTTTCCTCTTTTCATCTCAAACTTACCAATGTCTTCCTATAATACTGAACTTGAATAAATAATTATCCCATTTTGTTTCTAATGAAACTAGACCACATAAAGTCCAACAGAATTTTCTAGAAAGGCATTTTTGTCTATATGGTAATAGAATATATTCCACAGATATTCTGGAAATTTATTTAACTTTTTATCAGATACTCACCTAAGTTGTACCAGACATCCATTTCTCCACTCAGGGTCCTCACTTCGACAATTGTTTGTCCCAGAAAATCATCTGATTCCTTTTTGAAATGTTGCTTGACTCTGGATTTGATATCATCATCTTCATCCCACACTCTGACTTTGATTCGATCTGTGGAGTTATGGCACTCACTGAAAATAAATGTGGGTAAGTTAACAACCACTGATAACCGCTCTAAATGGCATTTGATGTTAGCAACTTATTTTAAGTCTGTATAATCCAGGAAGGCATAATATACTACATAACAAATTATATTTACCACTGACCCATTCAATCCATGGTATATTGTAGGTATCAGAGATATTGAAGAAAGTTGTATTAGTTAAATAATGTCAAGTAGAGAAAAATCCTATGCCATCCCATATATTCCCTTTAACTAAACTAGATATAATTAAATTTGGGTCAGAAATATTTGTTTGGGGTATTTTGACTTATTTCTTATTCACAACAGTTGTCTACAACAACATATTTATGCTAAAAAATTCTGCATCATAAATATAAAACTAATTTTATTGCAATGGGGGTTGTAAAAGCAGACATCACACAATCCACTTGGTAAACTAAAAATCCCAGTAAGTATACAATATATTGTTAAATCAAGTAGACTTACAACAACATCCTTTTGTTTTTAACAATAAGCTGCACATTTTAGTTCATTCATCATTTCCAGGATTCTTTCTCTCTATCTTACTGATACAAACTACTTAATATTGGCCATACATATTACAGTCTTTCTTAATACTATGGCTTTGTATATACTGTTCCTTATGCTTTTCTGCCTGCTAACTAATCATTCTTTAAGTATCAACTAGTCACCTGCTCTTTATAACTTTTTCTATAGCTTTTAGAGCCAGTTTGGATGATCAACCCTGAATCCCAATTTACTCTGTACATGCATTCACTTTAGCACAGGGGTCTTTAACTGGGGGTTATTGGCTGAGTTCTGAGCATCACTGAAGTTGGATTTAAAAATTAATAAAACAACATCATCTTTCTTTTCCTCCAATTATGAATATAGGCACCAGACCATAGCAGTATTATCAGTATCTGTGAGATATTTCTCACCATTAAAGCCACAGTTATTGCCGAAACCGGTTTGGCTCAGTGGATAGAGCGTCGGCCTGCGGACTGAAAGGTCCCAGGTTCGATTCCGGTCAAGGGCATGTACCTGGGTTGCGGGCACATCCCCAGTAGGAGATGTGCAGGAGGCAGCTGATCGATGTTTCTCTCTCATCGATGTTTCTAACTCTCTATCTCTCTCCCTTCCTCTCTGTAAAAAATCAATAAAATATATTAAAAAAAATAAAGCCACAGTTATTTACATATAACATTACATGTGTTATAGAATTTAAACTATTGTTTATAACCATCTTTACTGTACTAAAGCTAAATCAACATAATTTGTTTGATTTTAATTCTATGTATTTTATCTTATGAATCTAAAAATAAATTTTGAAAAAAAAGTGTTTATAGTCTTCACCAGCTTGCCAATGGGCTCATGGTACATAAATTATTTAATGACTTCTGACAGTATACTCTCTCTCTCATTAACCTATGAGGCAAAATAATATAGCATATACAAGAATGAGATTTGAGGTCTGACATGTCAATGTGCAAAACTGTAGCACCCTATTTCTGCTTAATGTAAGAGTTTTCAACACAGAACATTCTGCCAATTTCTGGGACATTTTGGTCTCTTCAACAAACCAAAGGGCACTCTTGGCACTCAATGGACTAGATAAGGGATTAAGACACCCTACCATCTAACGGACAGTTCACATGATTTAAAGTGACCCAAAGGCATTGATGAAAATGCAAAACCCAAACCTCAGTTTGGAACTTAACTCTTTATATATAAAAACACCAACTCTTTTGTATGTTTTACATGATACTAAAATTTTCTGGCAAACAACTAGTGCATAAAAACACTAGTAAATAATTGTTATTATTCAGACCTTTACCAAGAGTTGTTTTCTATTTTGAGAAATTACATTACCAATGTCAAAACCACTCAAAATATTTGAATCAAAATATTTGCATCAGGTGCACTTGAGATGATCACAGTCATGCTAATTCTACTTACAGATGAAAGTATGTTGTCTACTAACCTATAGGTTAGTTGTGTCTACCTTTACATACTTAAATACATGTTAGGTCAATGGAACAGAATAGAGAGCCTGGAAATAAACACACATCTGTATAGTCAACTAATAGTTGAGAAATGAGGCAAAAAACATACAATGGATAAAGATAGTCTATTCAATAAATGATGTCGGGAATATTGGACAGATACATGCAAAAAATGAAATTAGACAATCTTCTTACACCAAATACAAGTATAAACTAAAAATACATTAAAGACTTAAAAGTTAGACTTGAAACCCTAAAAATCCTTAAAAAAACATATACAGTGAAACCTCAAATATTTCTCATAGCAATATTTTTTTCTGATCTATCTCCTTGGGCAAGGGAAACAAAAGAAAAAATAAACAAATGGGACTACATCAAATGTTAACGTCATTCACTAATAACACTGGTTCCACTTGTTTCTCATAAAGACGTACTAGTTCCTACTTCATTATGTTTTCTCAAGAGCTATTTTTGAGGAATATTAAAAATAAACAATTTGAGGTTTAAATGGTCAGAAACTTATATTTTGATCTCTTCAGTGTAAAGACAGCAGTGGGACTGATGTTTCTAATACAGGTACTGAAAATTAGTGAGGATTTTTCAGTGGGTATAAAATTAGAGATTTAGTCTAAGATAGTGTGGTGGAGAGTCATCCTCTACAAATGCCTGATATCTCTAAACATTCTCCTTTCGTTTGTCTCTATCCTTCATCCTTTCAATAATTAAGCTGGATAAACTCATGTTGCTAGATTCCTTTGCAGCTATGGTCAACATATTTGACCTGCATTCAAGTAATATCTGAACTCAAAATTTAGCAAAGTGAGGCAATATTCTGGGTTTTGCTCTTTTGCCAACAGCAGTAGTGGAGGGTTTAGTACTTTGATGTAGAGTGTCTGGTATTTAGTTTTCAGGGGCAAAAGTATTGATCAGTGGTGGCAGTGGTGTTTTCTTCAAAGAAACCCTATGATATAATTGGACATTGTTTCTGCATAGTAGCTTCAGAGGCTGGTACTCTGACCTCTCTAAAAATTCTTGAACAACCTAAAAGACTATGAAATAATATTTTTCTACATAGGATAACTAGAGCAAACTCTGTTATTTGCAACTAAGGATACTGACTAACAGTAATTTTAAAAGAATTAAGGGAGTTGCAATAACAGAACTTAAAATGAGGAACTGACTCTGTGAGAGGATATGGGAAGACAGTAAAGATTTAATTACCTCAGGCTGAAAAACCAATGCACTTAAAAATGCAATGGAAGAAAAGTTAGTCAAAATGTTGCTCGCTATACCTTGGAATTCCAACAATATGCCAACTGAAGCTTTTTTCTTAGTATGAATGGTAGAAATAAAATTCAGAATGTTGGCGTATGCTTATTAAACCTCTGCTTTCAAAAATATACTACAGTAGAGGTGCACTCAAAGTACAGCTAGACAATCTGTACGTAGAGATACAATGGAGCACAGTTATGCCAAGAGGGGATCACTCTACCTGTGTCCTGCCATGTAAATTGAGTGAGAAGATCATAATTTGGAAGCCTGCAGGGTAGAGAAAAGCCAGTTGCTTCTGGATATAAAAATGCACTTATACAAGCAGAGGTTTCTAAGTGCAACTTCAAAAAGAGATAAAATTATTGCCCCAGAGCTTTTCAAACTTCTTCCTTTAGGAAGTCTCTCAGTGACAATGAAGGAGAAATTGATGGCAAATATCCAATTAATGGTGTTGTAATTTCATGCTGACATACTATATTGTAGGGCCCAAGACAGAAGCCATTAGATTGAGAGGAATTGGCCAGAACAGAGGAGCCAGTAGCAAAGAGTTAAAATTTCTCAGCTTATGTGATTACTCGTAAAATTGGCTTTGAAGCCCATCTCCTGGAAGCCTGGTAAATTTTCCAGGGAATAGTGTTCCCAAATGTGCCTCTACTTTGGCTATAACCATACTTAAAGTAATGTCTAAGTTCTTGAGTCACAACAATAGAAAGTGGGGTCCAAGTACATTATCGTCACAATTAGGAAGACCATATGCCTGGATTTCCTGGGATGGTGCCAATTTATAGTTATTGTACATATATATAATGCCTTTCAGTCAATTTTAGAGCCCTCATTCATTTACTGTCACTTTACACAGTACCTGCTTAAAGTGTGTAAGCATTGCCAAACTGTGCAAGGATGTTCTCCCAAGAGGTACAACCAAGGAATTGGAGGAAAATGGATAATAAAAAATATACCCTCCCAAAAAGTAAATTTTGCATATCAAATTTACCCTCCCTGCCATGTTGGCTAGCTAAGTAACTACTTCTGCTGCTAGGATAGGAAGTCCTGAGTATATCTGTCCAGCAGGTATATCTATCCTGCAGGACAGATACACTAACAACAGCCATGAATTTCCCACTTTCCGTCTTACTGAATAAGACATTAACATTGTTGTGTTATCCTGTTATCTTCCTCTCTCTATAATAATACATTGGGATTATTGGAGGAAGATGCCTTGTCTCTAATTTAGGTCCAAGTATCACAAAGTGAAACATGGAAGTGGTAGAGAGACTACCATAGATCCTGGACTTTAAAACTAAATGCAGTAACTGGATATAATTTTTGGATTACCTGCCATGAAAGTGAGGGGATGAATTAATTTGATTTAATTATAGAGGTATAAAGTTTGCATATACATTTTAGTTAGTCAAAGGTGGAAGCTGGCAATACTGTAAGTTTGTTCATAAAATAACCTTTCAACCCCTCTTTTCCCCTTTCCTACTTTTATGCAATATCCCAGCCTTCCTTGCAACTACAGATGATCACTTGATATAGTTCTTCCAATGAGATCTAAGAAAAATTCTTCTGGTCCTGTTTCTTCTATTCTATTTTTTATTACCCTGGAACATGTATGTAGAGTAGCCTACATGGATGTTAAAACAGGAAGATAGAGTAAGCTTTGTTTTTCGATGAAATAATTGAGTTAAGATACGGCCCTCAAATGCCTATTCCTGGAGTTCTTGTTGAATGAAATAAATCTCTCTTTGACTAAGCCACAATTGTGGCTT